TTTTTTTGTGGGGGGGTGCAGTACCAGGGGTCGGACCCAGGACGTTGAACTTACTAGGCAGGTGCTTATGCCAAAGAGCTATAGCCCCAACCCCTAAAGCAAGATGTCTTTTTTTTTTCCTTTTTTCTTTTTTTTTTTTTGTGGTACTGAGGATTGAACTCAGGACCCTGTGCTTGCCAGGCAAGCACTTATTCTACTGAGCTATCTCTCCAGCCCCTATAATTTTTAAATGATGGACTCTGAACAAAACAAACCATACCCGAGGATAGTAAGCTTTCTTTTTCCCAGTGAGTACAAATGTTTCTTAAATCTTCAGTAAGTTACAATTGCCTTCATTTGTTGTGTGGTATCTCTATATTTCTATTCACTGACTGCTTTTCTACAAATCAGTTCACTTTCAAAATATGTCCATTCCTAGAAAAAAATAGATGTATCAGAACTTAGGCTCAGTAGGGGTTGTATATTTTAATGCAACCTTAAATGTGTAAGTGTTAAATATGTTTATCCCGACCACAATTTCTTTTTTCACATAACCTCTCTGGTACATGGACCTCATTTTGGCAAATGGTGGCATAGCATATGTTAAAAAATCACAAAGTCTGCAATGCTCCAGTTAGCCTGTTACACTGAGGCTTTTGGCAGAAGCAAATAGCCATCTACATTTATCCCCTAACTTTGTCGCTTCTTCATGTCGTTCTGAAGGGCTTACTGGTTTTCCCAATCATCAGTCAAATATTATGCATTTACTATGGGGCATGAAGAGGTAATGAGTACCATTTTCTGTAGGATGACAAGAGAAGTTCCTAAAATTACTGCCATTCCTTCAGGATCACACATTGAAGAAATATTTGCAGGGTGCCTGTTCTGTGTCAGTGAACGGCTTAAGGAGCCGTTCTGAAATCCTCGATCCCTTTCTGGAAGTACATCATACTTTTAAAAGACAGCATCTCACTCTGAGGGTCTTCCCAGCAGAAAGCGAAGGGGAAGGAAAATTTCAAACTTGAAGATGGACTGAAAAGATGACAGGCACGGGAGTAGGAATGTCCGGAGGGGTGGGGAGATTTGCTTAAGAATGAGAGAAGCTGCTTAAGATAATGATAAGGACAAATAGAGAGGATAGGGTGGGCTGGTTGATCTTGGATATAGATTTTGTTTTGGCCACAGGTGAGTGTTTGACATTCTTCCTAATTCTAGTTATGACTGGAACCATGAAGATCATAAATACAGTGATTCTGTCAGGGTCTGGTGAGGAGGGGTTTCCAAAACAAGAAAATCCCTATTTGTCCTGCTTGGCATAAACAGTTTGGATCACCTCCAGCTGCAGGAGAGAGGTGCAGTTTGTCTCTGCAGCCTTTATTATCCTGTCCAGTACTTTTTTTTTCCCCTCCTTTGCCCTTCCCCCCTACTTCCTGCACCCTTTGCCTCTTACACCAACCCCACCCAATCTACCCAAGCCCACCCCTCCCTTCCCACCCCACCCCATGCCATACCACCCCGCCCCACCCCACGCAGTCCCATCCTGTCCCTTCTCAGTAGCACTAACTCTTATTCATGCTTCCTGAAAAGGCAAGTTCCAATAGTAGGGAGTAGTACCAAAATCACAGAGCCTAATTCTCAAGTGTCCCCTCATGTTAGCACACACAGTACGTCAATGTCACCTTGTTGGAGATACCAGCGCTCATGCCCACGCCAACCCCCAGGGATAAGGAACTTCAAATGTAGAACCCGTGTTCTCTGTCTCTAAAGGGCTATCAGTCATTCCGATGCCATCTTCACTTCGACAGCCGCTAAATTCACCGTTATACCCGCTTAGACTCTTAGCATTAGTCAATATAGCCTCTCTGGTGTTTCGAGTTAGCCAGCCCTGGATCTGGAATGTGATTCCACCACTTCCTGGCAGCTTAGGCTAATGGCTCT